ATTACAGGCACACTCCACCATGCCCAGCTAATTTTTTAATTTAATGTTGAGATGAGGTTTCACCAAGTTGCCCAGGCTGGTCTTGAACCTGTGGGCTCCTAAAGTGCTAGGATTGTAGGCGTGAGCCACTGTGCCCGGCCCATTTTATTTTTTTTACCCAGGCAGCAAGAGGGAAAGAGGGAAGAAAATGCCCAAGAATTACAGATACATCTGGGATTCCATAGGGGCCTCTGGAGAAGCAGCAACCACTCCCACAGCTAGATGACAGTAGACAAGAACCAGAGTCTTACGCCTTTTTATTCTGTCCATCTGGACCAAGATTATAAAGTTATCTGTGTTGCTGGGGTCATCTCCACGTATAGGAAATATCTGTGATTCCCCTGGGGCTGAGTTAGGGGTTTCTCATGATCACCCTCTAGCTTCCATGAATAGCTCTGCCATCACCACATTGGTCTTGTGGTCATCTCTTAGTTCACCCCTCACCCCCATTAGTTACACTGTCAACTTCCTGAGAGCAGGGACTGTGTCTTATTGATAACCTCCCCACCAACAGGTAGACCCTGTGTGGATGATGCATGGACAGATGGATGAAAAGCCCCTCACATTTCTTTTTTTTTTTTTTTTTTTTTTTAGTTGGAGTCTCAGTTGCTCAGACTGGAGTGCAGCGGCCGCTCCCAGCCACCGCAGCCTCGAGCTGCTGGGCTCCAGTGATCCTTCCGCCTCAGCCTTCCAAGTAGCCGCAACTACAGGCGCGCACTACCACGCCCGGCTAATTTTTGATTTATTGTAGAGATGAGGTCTCACCAAGTTGCCCAGGCGGGTCTCGAACCCGCGGGCTCAGGCAATCCACTCACCTCGGCCTCCCAAAGTGCTGGGATTACAGGCTGAGCCACCAAGCCCGGCTGCCCCTCACATTTCAAGCGGTGGTCCCCATCTACATGGGGCCTCCCTGAGGTCACTTTTTCTGGCATGCAGAATTCAGGGTCTAGCTGAGGAGAGAGAAAGAACATAGTCGTCAGCAACGGACAGGGGTGCCAGGCAGCAGACAGGCAGCAGCAGGACTCTTGAGCAGGGCAGGGGCTTGGCGGGCACCCACTGACCTTTCCTGTCTGGATGGTGGCTCAGGTTTCAGCCTGCTGTGTGGGAAGCTGTCTTGTGGTACCAGGAGACTGAAAGTGCCCTCTTTCCCCTCAGTCACATGCTGTGATCACCCAACTGCAGGGTGAAGGGTCAGACCTGGAGCCTGGAGCCATTGTTCCAAGGAGATGAGGTGTCGTGGCAGCCTGCCTACCCCCACCTCATTCTTAGAATGTCTCTTTTGCTTTCTGAAAGATCAGTGTAAAGGTGAAAGGTTAAATATTAGGTAAGGGCCAGATTCTTGGGAAGTGGTAGAGATAAGTTCAGGCAAGACAGAAGACACCTGCAGGGAGGTTATTTGACAAAGCGTCTCTATCCTTCCAACATCTCTGGGCAACCTAGGAGTACCACACAGCTGACTGTTTGAAGGAGTGTTTCTGCCTGCCTCAATAGGGTCCGTCTTATAAAGAGGTGATTTAATATTTTTTATCCTAGCACCAGGGAGGCAGCCACATTCTCCTTCCTGCTTGGGGGAATTTCTCTGAATTGTCCCATTCTGCCCTTGTTTTCCTCGCATTTTCTGTTACCTCCCCACCCTCCTGTCTCCTTCCCTTGGCCAAGGACTAATTTCTCCCGTGAGATCAAGATCCAGTTCCTTATTCTGTAATCCATACCTCTCTCTGGGGCTCTTGAGTCTTGTTCTTTAATCTTCCTTCCTTTATAAAGTCAATGTCCTTTATCCTTTAGTCATTATTGCTGTGTCTGCCTGAATTCTTGGGTACAGGGGCCCAACCTTGCACCCCACATGCCTCAGGGCCCTGGGGAGAAGCTGAGCTCACAGAACCTGTTGTTTAGAGTGATTTGAGTTGGATTGTCACCAGGCACATGATCCTGAAGTCCTTATTGAATTGAGTAAGATAACCCAAATGTGTATTTATCAGAATGTCTCAGTACATCTGGAACATTCAAGTATTTACAAAATGTTCTCCCTGTTCGGGCACTTAAAATCCTTCCTCTGACAACATGTTTTGATTCTCCTTATATGACACCATCTTGGATAACAGCCCCTCTGTGAGGAGTCGAGAGTTTCTACTCTTGAAGTCAAGCTACTCGTTGCCCTTTTGGCTCTGTGAAGCCAACTGGGGATTGTGTTGCCTGTTGAGGGAATTCCTGGGAAGCAGGGGAGATTGGGGTGCATCAAGAAATGTGTAGACTGAGATGATATTGGAAGGCTAATGAATTGTGGCATTTTAAAAACTTATTTATTAAATATTTGTTGAGGACTGCTATTTGCAGGTACCAGTGATATGCCCTGGGAATAAAAACATGAAAATGTCACAGTCCCTGCCCTGCTGGTCTACAAGCAGGAAAACAGAAACATTTTCATACAAATAAATGATGTGAACAAAGTGGTTTGGTGTTGTTCTAGAGAGAAGGAACAAATTTTGTTCCTTGCCTATAAAACACGACTGAGACAGCTTCTCTTAAAGGCACATTGTTAGGAATAAATGAAATTATAAATTATGAAGACTCACAGAACAGGTGACATTCGAGCTGGATCTTGAAAGATGAGGAGTTTGCCGGATGGGGATGGTACACAGGGGAAGGTTACAGATGGATAATGTCAGTACCTTCCTACCCTGCTGAAATGTTCTTGGAATCAGGAAAAGTTGAAAAATACTTGGAAAATAAAAGCACAGTTTAAGGATAAGGTATTGATAAAACTTGATTGGTCATTCAAGTGAAGTCAGAGCCCTGGATAGAGACTTCAGGCAAGAGAAATAGTCTCATGCTTTTTTACATGTGTGATGTGCATCTTTTGAGAACAAGGGGTGTCCTGGCTGCTGATTCAGGAGAAAAGGAAGCAGGAGGATTTTTTCCTCCTTTATTTTTAAGCACCTCGTAACCATCAGGGAATGGCAGCACAGAGCTCTGGTGGTTTGCTCCAGCAGTGTAGCCAGTATGACAGAGAGAGCCCCTCTCTGCCTAGTACTCAGCTTCTGAGCTCTCATCTAGTCATTGGGGTTACAAGTTGGAGTTTCATATCTCTGTGAGAATCCTGTGACTCTTGTGTAGGGAAACAGAGTTTTAAGAAGGAAAAAAACAACACACACCACCATGGAAGATATATAAATGGATGGTAAATAAGCCATGAAAACTTATTCAACATCACTAGCCATTAGGGAACTACAAACCAAGACCACAATGAAATACTACTATATGCCTATTTGAATAGCCAAAGTTTTTGAAACTGATAATACCACAAAGCAATAGCATTCACATTCATGGCTGGTGGGAATGCAAAGTGATATGGTCACTTTGGAAAACAGGCAGTTTCTTTTTTTTTCTTTTTAGAGTTGGAGTCTCACTCAGTTGCCCAGACTGGAGTGCCGTGGCCGCTTCCGGTCACCGCAGCCTCGCCTGCTGGACTCCGGCAATCCTTCCGCCTCAGCCTTCCAAGTAGCCGGAATTACAGGCATGCGCTACCACGCCTGGCTGATTTTTTGATTTATTGTAGAGATGAGGTCTCGCTGCCCAGGTGGGTCTCGAACCCGCGGGCCCAGGCAATCCACTCATCTCAGCCTCCCAAAGGCGTGGGATTACAGGCTGAGCCACCGAGCCCGGCAGTTTCTTATAATGTTAAATATACATTGACTATATGACCCAGAATCCCATTCCTAGATGTTTACTCAAGAGAAATGAAAACACCACTCAAAACCACTACGTTCCATGGGAAGATTTCTATGTAAGTGTTTCTAACAGCTTTATTCACAATAGTCCCAACTGGGAGCAGTTAAAATGTCCATCAGCTGGTAAATGGGAAAATGTGATGGACTCATATAATGGAATATTGTTTGACAATAAAAAGGGACAAATTACTGATATGTGCAGCAACATGAATAGATCTCAAAAGCATTATGTTAAGTGAAAGAAACCAGGCACAAAAGACTACATACTATATGATTCCATTAATGTGATTTTCTGGAAAAGACAAAACTACAGGGACAAATCAAATTAACAGTTACTAGAGGTAGGAGACGAGGATTGACTAATTGACTACAAAGGAGCATGAGGGAAATTTGGAGGGTTGGAAATGTTCTACATATTGACAGCAGTAGTGATTATACATTTGTTAAATCTCAACAAGCTATACACTTAAAAAGGTGAATTTTAGGCTGGGCATGGTGGCTCATGCCAGTAATCCCAGCACTTTGGGAGGCCGAGGTAAGAGGATTGCCTGAGCCCAGGGGTTCAAGACCAGCCTGGGCAACTTGGCGAGACCTTGTCTCTACAATTTAAAAAAAATTAGCTGGGCATGGTGGCATGCACTGGTGGTTCTAGCTACTTGGAAGGCTGAAGAGGAAGGATCACCCAAGTCCAGCTGGTTGAGGCCGTGGTGGCCCTGAGTATGCCACTGCATTCTAGTCTGGGAGCCAGAGTGAGACTACAACTCAAAAAAAAGGTGAATTTTACTAGATGTTGATTATGTCTCAATAAACCTAAATAACAAAAGATTCACCTAAAACTCTATTACCCCCAATCAGGAAGGTAACATCCAGGAGCCCACCAGCAGCTCAGGGCTCCCTTTGCCCAGATAATGACTTGAAGGCAAAACCCATACTTATACCCTGATCAGATGCTAATTTTTCCTTCAAAGCCAATGCCTGTACTTCTATGCCACCTTCTGGCTCCCAGCCCTGAGCAGGGCATGCTCTGACCAAGCTCTGATTTGGGGCAGGTAATCCCCATTTTTAATCCATTAACCTAGCTAAGGTTTTGGTCACAGGCTGAGCTTGTAGGGTGTTTGGCTCGCCTGTTGTAATCTCATCATCAGGAGCAAGGAGCATTTCTGCTTCTGTGCAGTGGACATCCCACAGGCACTTATGACCTCTGAGGATCTGTTTGGGGGTCTGTCATTTCAGTGCTTCTCACATGGGTCAACTGTGCCAGTGTGCGGTGGGCCACCCGAGTTCAAGACATCTTTACAGCTGGGAAGCTCCTGGCCTTGGCCCTGATCATCATCATGGGGGTTGTACAGATATGCAAAGGTGAGTGTCTGGGAAATAGCAGGGTCTCGCCCAACTTTCCACTTTTGCGTGTGCAAATCCTCTCAGCCCAGCTTTGGAAGTGAGATTTCCCAGTGCTGGCATGAGTGACTTTTCTTCTTCTTCCTTTTCCTCGGGGTGATTGGATGTAGGGACTGCTCACCCTAGACTGCAGAGGTCAGTTCTCCCATGCTCACCCCATTGCTCCAGCACAGTTGGGTAAAGACCCCAGACCTCTGGATTCCTGTCGCTGTTTTGCCCCAACCCCAGCAAAGTGCCCTGCATCTTATATTGTACCTTGGCCATATCTTACAATGAAAGAGAAGGAGAATTTTCTATGTTTCAGAATTACTTAATAATCTCTGCAAGAGAGAACTCTACATTCCTGGGGTCCCTGCCAACATTCCCCACTGGATTTGGCCCTTTCCAAGACTGAGTCTGTATTTGGTTTCCATGGGGCCCGTGGCACCACGAGGCTCTGCCTAGTGTCACTGCCTTGCGGAGAAAGTCAGATGACAGAGAGACTTCACACCCCCTCGCAAGCTGGAAGGCAGTGGTGGGGAGCCCAGATTTTTACTTGAGGAAACATAATTAAGTTCCTGCTATATAATGTGCCTGATTATTTTAATCAGTTGGATTAAGTTCTTTAGCAGGTTATATATTGTTTCCAGGAATTTAGACTTAAGGAAATCACCATGCTATCTTTTCAAAGATAGTGAGTTCCTCCTAATCTGCTCTCAATTCTTTCCTGGTCACTCTAATCTCCTTATTTCCTGTCCAAAAACTAGGTTACAGATGAGTAAATAACATGTGGTCAGTTACTCTGTATCTCATTACAACCTTAGTCTGCAGCCTGTTTTGAGGATCCACTGTGTGTAGGACACTGTGCTGAGGGCTGAAAAGGCAATTTAAAAGCTCTTTGCTAAAGGACCCTGACTCCAGGGAACCTATGCCTTGAAAAGAGAAACCAAGTACACTACACACCTCAGAAAGAGAGAAGAGGATATCAGCAAAGCAAGCAAGACAAACTTGAGGCCTGGTGTAGTGGCTCGCACCTATAATACCAGCACCTAGGGAGGCCTAGAAGGGAGGATTGCTTGAGGCCAGGAATTCTAAACCAGCCCGAGCAACATAGCAAGACCTGGTTTCTGTTTCATTACCAAAAAAAAAAAAAGCGGGGAGCGGTGGCACATGCCTATAATCTCAGCACTGAGGCAGAGGTGGGAGGATTGCCTGAGCCCGCAGGTTCATGACCAGCCTGGACAACGTGACAAGACTTCATCTCTACAATAAATCAAAAAATTAGCTGGGCATGGTGGTGCACACCTGTAGTTCCAGCTACTTGGAAAGCTGAGGTAAAAGGAACGCCTGAGCCCAGCAGGTCAAGGCTGTGGTAGCTGTGAACAGTGTGCCACAGCACTCCAGCCTGGGCGACAGAGTGTGACTTCAACTCAAAATATACAAAAAACAAGTTTGAACTAATGGGTTATGGAATCTTATGTTTGAGTGTCTGTTGTTCCAAATGGTTTCTTCAGGAAAATATGCAAACTTAGATATCAGGGCAGGTGTTCAGGAGACTGCCAAAGACTCTAATCCTGTGTTTCCAAAGCCCAATTTACCTTGGCCTTTCTTTCCAAGTAGCTCTGCATTTTTCTTCTTCTTTTTTCTTTTTTTTTTTTTTTTTTAAGTTGGACTCTCTGTCACCCAGGCTGGAGTGCAGTGGCACACTCACGGCCACCGCAGCCTCGACCTGCTGGGCTCTGGTGATCCTTCCGCCTCAGCCTTCCAAGTAGCTGGAACTACAGGCGCGCGCTACCACGCCTGGCTCATTTTGATTTATTGTAGAGATGAGGTCTCGCCAAGTTGCCCAGGTGGGTCTCGAACCTGCGGGCTCAGGCAATCCTCTCACCTCAGCCTCACAAAATGCTGGGATTATAGGCATGAGCCACCGTACCTGGCCAGCTTTGCATTTTTCAGAAGGAAAAGTCAGAGCTGTGCTTTGAACCTGAACCCCCATTTGGACTCATAGTTTCTAGGACCTTGGAGGTCCTAGACCTATATTTCCCTGCTCCTTTTAGCCCCACTTCTCCAGTACATTAGGTTCACTGGAGAGAAGACAAAGAACTGGTGCCATGGCCACAGGATGGAGCAAGAGACCAGTTGGGCAGGCCAGGGGCTGCCAACCCTCTGCCTCTCTCTGAGCTGCCTTCTGCCGCTGTGTCCACAGGAGAGTACTTCTGGCTGGAGCCAAAGAACGCATTTGAGAACTTCCAGGAACCCGACATCGGCCTCATTGCACTGGCTTTCCTTCAGGGGTCCTTTGCCTATGGAGGCTGGAACTTCCTTAATTACGTGACTGAGGAACTTGTTGATCCCTACAAGTGAGTTGAAATAGCCCAGCTCTTCCCCTCCTCCTTGAAGGGCCACAGCACCTGTTGCTGGAAGGAGGGAGCAGGTGTCCACTGCCCACTCCTCCTTCCCCCAGTCCCATTGTGTTGGTGGTCTGTTCTACCCTGAAGTGATAGTTCACTTCCCAGGAATTGAAACCATTTGCCATCCACCCTGCCCAGAAGAGAAAAAGGCTCCAGCGACTGTCCCTGAGCAGGTTAAAAGCTGAAAACTGTGCTGCAGTAACACCACTGCTTTAGAGAATGACCTGAGGCCTGAGAGACTCCCAGGCATTTTACCCGTGTGAGGACAGGCTGGTCTTTGTGTCTTTAGACAGGGGGAAGGTGCAATGGGGAGATTTGGGTCAAGAAGAGATCAACAGGTACGGCGCATATTTCCAGCCTAAGCTGTTTCATTTCATTTAAATTATTCTTCCTATATTGAGGCCGGGTGCAGTGGCTTATGCCTGTAGTCCCAGCACTGTAGGAGGCCAAGGTGGGAGGACTGCTTGAGCCCCGGAGTTCAAGACCAGCCTGGGCAACATAGTGAGACCTCATCTCTATGAAAAAATAAAAAAATTAGCTGGGCACGGTGGTGCGTGCCTGTAATCCCAGGATACTCTGGAGTCTAAGATGGGAGGATCACCTGCACCCAGGAGGTCGAGGCTGCTGTAAGTCATGATCATCATGATTATGCCACTGCACTCCAGCTTGGGTGACAGCGTGAGACTCCAACTCAAAAATAAATAAATTATTCTTCCTATATTGAGATAAAACCTACCTCCCAAGGGGAGGAAGGCTCACGGAAGGCTGCAAGGTTAACCTCAAACAGATAGGCAGAAGGCACTGCCTGGACCCCAGGGCAAGGCGGGCATCCCAGGTGCCAGCCCTGCCCCTCACCTCCTCTCCCTCTACAGGAACCTTCCCAGAGCCATCTTCATCTCCATCCCACTGGTCACGTTTGTGTATGTTTTTGCCAATGTTGCTTATGTTACTGCAATGTCCCCCCAGGAGCTGCTGGCATCCAACGCCGTTGCTGTGGTAAGAAATTGAAGTCTCTGTCTCTTACACCAGAAATGCCTGCTCAGCCCCACTCACTTTTCCCTGTTCTATGGCCTCCTGGAACTGGAAATCGTCCCCAGTCCTCAGGGTAGAAACCACAGATGTCCTCAGTGGGGCATCTTTACATGCAATCTTTAAGAGCAAATTGGTGGCTGGGTTGTACTACAGTGGCAAAACTGAGTCACTGCCTTGGAGATTGCATGGCTCAAGAAGCTAAAATATTTATTGTCTGACCCTTTACAGAAAGTTTGCTAGCTCCTGATGTAGGGCACTGTAAACTCTATATGTGATGATGGTGTAAAGGAGACAGGCTCCTCCTCAGAAAGACATGATCTTGCACAAGATGTGCCATTTCCCTCTGCCTCCATTTCCTCCTCTGGGAAATGTACAGCTCAACTCCGTCCCTCATCAGTGAAAAGTGGGTACTGGGGGAACAATTCAGAAGAAGGAGTGAGTTGTGCTCTTTAGGGAAAGAGATTATACTAGTGCAAGGGGTTGGGATCCTCACTATCCAAGAAGAACCTAGGAGCCATGTTGCTCCACACTTGCATCAGGCTGGATTCCATCCCACTCTGCCACATAGTATCTTCACTGGTCTTATCTCTGAAGACCGTACAGAAAGAGGCCCTCTCTGGCTGTGTAGCCAGCAGCCTTCCTCTCCTCAATACGGGACGATGAACCTGACTTAGAGAATATAGCAAAGACCGGTTCCCTGTATTTTATAGTCCTTCAATACATGAAGACTAGTCTATAGCTTCACAATCTTTCTCTTGCTCAGCCTAAGTCCTTATCATTTTGCCCCCAATTCATCTGCTTTTTTTTTTAATTTTTCTTTTTTTTCATCTGTTTTTATGAATTTTGACTTTCTCACCCTATAGTTGAGAGGCTCAAAAATTTGAGCTCACTGAGGCTCAAAAATTACAAAGTTTGCCCAAGTTCTCACAGCTCCTAGATGGAGGACTAGGATTTGAACCTAGATCTGCCTGCCTCCCAAGCCTGTGCTTCTCCCTGTGCTGGAGAAATCATACTATGTACGTGAGGCTTGAATTCACACCACTTGGCTTCCACTCCTGGTCCCTCTACTTCCTGGATGTATGATTTTGGGCAAGCTACTTAATCATGATGTACCTCAGTTCCCTCATCCGTAAAACAAGGATAATAAATCTTAGCTGCTTATTATTACCACCATGCACTGTCTCCTTCAGCTAATTAACCCAAAACATGCACTGACCCCCGCTATGTAATTGTTGTCGGGAGTGGCGGGCTCTCAGGAACTCCGCCAGAGCCAATCAGGAAGGGTGGAGAAGGAAGAGAAGCGTTCCCATCACAGCAATGGGGTGCAAGCTGAGGTGTAGGGAGAGTTGTAGCCTCTCCTTTTCTACTTATCCCCTTGTTTTCTCTCCCAGACTTTTGGAGAGAAGCTCCTAGGAGTCATGGCCTGGATCATGCCCATTTCCGTGGCCCTGTCCACATTTGGAGGAGTTAATGGATCTCTCTTCACCTCCTCCCGGTGAGTGCTGCCTGGGCCCTGCCCGGGCCAGGGGCCGCTCTGCTGTGCACATTGCTCTGTGTGTATCTGGTGGGCTTGTCTCTGTCAGCAGGGGTCTGTGTGGGCACCTGGATGGTAGGCTTGCAGAAGGGTGATGGCTCACATAAGGGTGTATGTGTCCGTGTGGATGCTGAGGGGTGTGTGCTGCTCACGTGGTCACCTACAATGTATGTGGCATAAAGGATCTAGGTGCTTCACATGTAGTGGCCACCTCATTTCAAAAGGGGCAGCAGACTAAGGAGGCCCCCCAGCCTGCCTGATACAGTCCCCGGTCAGGGGGTTGTGGTTAGCAGCAGGACAGTGTCTAGCTGCAGTCCCAGAGCCCCCGTTTATACTCATCTGGCAACAGGCTGCTGCTGACTAGAAAGGAATGCCTCCTGGGCCAGGAGGGAGACTTATGCCTGGGGCCTCTGGGTCTGGCCTCCCATGAATGTTCTGGAACCAAACCGATTGCTCTGGGGATGCAGGGCTCCTCCCCACTCAACAGACAGGCAGTTGTGGAGGCCTTTGCATGACCACCCTGAGACTCAGGTGGAGAATGCGAAGTGAGAGGGTGGGGAAGAAAAAAAAAGAGGCTTTCAGCCAAGACCCCTATCCCAAAACTCTGGGAAGCCAGAAGGTCCCAGCAGCTACCTCCACACAGCAAGGCATTTGGCCCCTCCTCTGTGTTCCTTCTTGCTGTCTTCAGAATGGGCTGTTCAGGAAGCAGAAGTTGAATGGTTTCCATTTGTATGGCTCGCGGGGCCTTCCCAGGGTTCTTAGAAAGGCTCCCTTCCCCTCAGGTCACAGTCCTGCTCAAAAGATGAGTCCCTGGCCGGGCTCAGTGGCTCAGCCTGTAATACCAGCGCTCTGGGAGGCCGAGGTGAGTGGATTGCCTGAGGCCGCGGGTTCGAGACCCGCCCGGGCAACTTGGCGAGACCTCATCTCTACAATAAATCAAAAATTAGCCCGGCGTGGTAGTGCGCGCCTGTAGTTCCAGCTACTTGGAAGAATCGTGGGAGCCCAGCAGGTCGAGGCTGTGGTGGCCGGGAGCATGCCACTGCACTCCAGTCTGGGTGACAGAGTGAGACTCCAACTCAAAAAAAAAAAAAAAAAATGAGTCCCTGGGTTCAGCTCTTTGGACAGCTGTCACAACAGGGAAGAGTTCCTGTGAAACGACAAGGGAATGCTATGTTTTCAGGACCCAGATAGGAAAGAGGTGGTGTGGGTGTCCTCTGTACCCCAGGACCCTATGACACTCACCCACAGCAACCTCGTGTGCGTGTTACACAGGAGCAGTGGCCATCTGGAGGCCCCAGCTGAGGGTGAGCGGTGGAAGAGCATGACCCATGAGGCTCCCTGGGATCTATTGGAAGAGGGGCTGGCTACAGTCGCTTTAGAGTGGGGTTTGTCCCTCAGGCAGGCCAAGCAGTGGTCTGCGTGCATGTGGTACAGTTGTGTGTGCATGCAGCAGACGGTGGCGCATGGTGTGCTTGGCCTCTGACTCAGAGACGAGACCTCAACCCTCCCTCCCCCCAGGCCTCCTTCGCTCATCCTTTCAGTTTCTCCTTTTCTTCCTTCTTCCTTCCCTCATTCTCTTACTCTTGTTTTTTGTGTTCTGGGGTATGGAGGGGACGATTCTTCCTGAGGAGTCAGAGTGTGTGTGGGTGTGTGTTATAGTTAATGTCATCGTCTCCTCCGTTGTCAGCTAGCTGGGCAAGGATTCTCTCTCGTGAACCTGACCCTTGCAAATGCTGTTGGAACTGGATGATTACCCGTGGTCCTGGCTGCATGTGGAGGAGGGATGTGAATGCGGCACCCTGGCTATGTGCACGATGAAGCCCATAGAGCACCTGAGGCTTAGTCTGGTGCATGAGGATGCACCCTAGAGGGGCCGTAGCATGGGGGAGAGTTGGGATGCGTGTAGCTGCCTGAAACTAGGGAGTCCATCATGGTCATTGCTTATGAGTACTTGGGGCCTACGGTCAACTCCCACACTTCTGACGAGCTGCTGCTGTTAGCTTCACTCTACCCATACACAAATTACAAAGTAAGTGACAGTTCTCTTTAGAACTCCCTGTGTGCAGAATTTGTGCCTTTTTGTCCCCATCACACCATCCCCTTTCTTTCATCTCTTGAGTGCTTCTTTCCCCAGAAAAAAGAAAAAGTATGGCTGGATGCAGTGGCTCACGCTTGTAATCCCAGCACTTTGGGAGGCCAGGGCGAGAGGATTGCCTGAGCTCAGGGATTTGAGAGAAGTCTGAGCAATATGGCGCGGGACCTTGTCTCTACAACAACAACAACAAAATAGTCAAGTGTGGTAGCGCACGTCTATGGTTCCAGCTACTTGAAAGGCTGAGGCAGAAGGACCCACTAAGCCCAGCAGTTCGAGGCTGCAGTGACCGTGAGCGTGCCATTGCCCTCCAACCTGGGTGACAGAGTGAGACTCGACTCAAAAAAAAAAAAAAAAAAAGAAAAAAGAAAAAGTGGTCTAATTTGTACTAATATGTAAGGGACTGCTAACTGCTTATAGTATTCTCTTAGGAGAGAGGAAGGGAAGAAGAGCTGCTTTTTATGTTAAACATTTTTATTGATACATAATGTATGTACATATCTTCAGGGTACATGTATATTTTGATATATTTATATGATGTGTAAAGATCAAATCAGGGTGACTGGGATATCCATAACTGTAAATATTTATCTTTTCTTTAAGGTAGGAACATTCAAATTGTTCTCTTTAAAAAAATGAACTGCATATACTAAAAAGTTTCTCTTTTTATAAATAACTTTTAAATATCAATATCCTAGCCAGGCTCGGTGGCTCAGCCTGTAATCCCGTGCCTTTGGGAGGCTGAGGTGAGTGGACTCCAACTCAAAAATAAATAAATAAATAAACTTGCAAATTTAAAAAATAAATAAATAAATATCAATATCCTATTCATGATATCGTACTGTAGCTTCACAGTATGTTACCAATGGGAGAAACTGGGTAAAATATACATTAGATCTCTCTGTAGTATTTTTTTTTTTTTTTTTTTTTGAGTTGGAGTCTCACTCTGTCACTCAGACTGGAGTGCAGTGGCTGCTCCCGGCCACTGCAGCCTCGACCCGCTGGGCTCTGGTGATCCTTCCGCCTCAGCCTTCCAAGTAGCTGGAACTACAGGCACGCGCTACCACGCCTGGCTCATTTTGATTTATTGTAAAGATGAGGTCTTGCCAAGTTGCCCAGGCGGGTCTCGAGCCCGCGGGCTCAGGCAATCCACTCACCTCAGCCTCCCAAAGGCACGGAATTACAGGCTGAGCCACTGAACCCGGCTTCTTTTATTTTTTATTTTTAGTTGGAGTCTCACTCTGTCACCCAGACTGGAGTGCAGTGGCCGCTCCTGGCCACTGCAACCTCGACCTGCTGGGCTCTGGTGATCCTTCCGTCTCAGCCTTCCAAGTAGTTGGAACTACAGGCGCGCGCTACCACGCTTGGCTAATTTTTGATTTACTGTAGAGATGAGGTCTCTCCAAGTTGCCCAGGCGGGTTCAGGCAATCCACTCATCTCAGCCTCCCAAAGCACGGTATTACAGGTTGAGCCACAGAGCCCGGCTTGTAGTATTTCTTACAACTACATGTAAGTCTACAAGTATCGCAAAATAAAAAGTTTAATTTCTTAAAAAGTTAAAAAATAATTTTTATTCTGATTATAAATGTTCCATCTATTTTAGAATTTTTAAAATTTTTCTATGAAATATTAGGAAGATGTCTGGGCATGGTGGCTTATGCCTATAATCACAACGAGAGGATCGCTTGAGCCTAGAAGTTCTAGATCAGCCTGGGCAACACAGTGAGACCTTGTCTCTGGGGTAAATAAATAAAGTAGGAAGTACATTAATCATAATCCCACCACCCAGAGACTATCAGCTGGCATTTTAATGTATTGTTACAGGCCCATAGTCTCTGGAATCATAATTTCCTATTTTTTTCATCTAACGTTATATTGCGAGCTTGTTCTCCTGTAATCAATTTTTTTCCAAAATATTATGATGACTGTATAATATTTCATCCATCTTATAGATATACTAGACTTTTTTGTTTTTGAGTCAGAGTCTCACTCTATCGCCCAGGCTGGAGTGCAGTGGCATACTCGCGGCCACCACAGCTTCAACCTGCTGGGTTCAGGTGATCTTTCCATCTCAGCCTTTCAAGTAGCTGGAAACACAGGCATGTGCCACCAGGCTCAGTTGATTTTTTGGTTTATTGTAAAGAGGAGGTTTCACCATGTTGCTCAGGCTGGTCTCGAACCCCTGAGCTCAGGTAATCCTCTCACCTCCACCTCCCAAAGTGCTGGGATTACAGGTGTGAGCCACCGTGCCTGGCTAGGTATACTAAATTTAATCAACCTTCTGCTGTTAGACACTTAAGATGTTTCTAACTTTTTTCTATCAGAACATCTTTGTATTTATACCTTTCACCAGCTCAACTCTCTATCCATTTCTTTAGGATGTCTTCTTGGGAACAGAATAAGTAGCTCTAAAGATATAGATATAGATATAGATATATATAGATATATATATAGATATATATAGATATATATAGATATATATAGATATAGATATATATAGATATATATAGATATATAGATATATATATTTTTTTGAGTTGGAGTCTCACTCTGTCGCCCAGACTGGAGTGCAGTGGCCGCTCCTGGCCACCGCAGCCTCGACCTGCTGGGCTCTGGCGATCCTTCCGCCTCAGCCATCCAAGTAGCCAGAATTACAGGCGTGTGGTACCACGCCCGGCTAATTTTTTGATTTATTGTAGAGATGAGGTCTCGCTGCCCAAGCGGGTCTCGAACTCGCGGGCTCAGGCAATCCACTCACCTCAACCTCCCAAAGGCGCGGGATTACAGGCTGAGCCACCAAGCCCGGCTTAAGATATACTTTTTAAGTACAATTTACATATAGTAAAATACATAGATCATAAATGTTCAATTTGATGGGATCTGTGGGGTTTTACTGTTTGTGCTTTTTTTCCTCTTAAACAATGCTCACTATATTGCTCAGGCTGACTTCAAACTCCTGGGCTCAAGTGATCATCCCACCTCAACCTCCTGGGTAGTTGAGGCTACAGGTGTGTATCACCATGCCTGGCTTCAATTTGATGAGTTTTGACAGCTGTACACAGCCATGTAACCATCACCCAAAACAAGATATAGAACACTTCCACTACCCATTCCCCACCCCCACAGAAGATACCAAATACAATAATAATGTTTTTAAAGCTATCCATGACCTGGCACGATGGCTCACGCCTGTAGTCCCAGCACTTTGGGAGGCAGAGGCGAGAGGATTGAGACCAACCTGAGCAACATGGCGAGACCTCATCTCTACAATAAATCAAAAAATTAGGCCGGGCTCAGTGGCTCAGCCTGTAATCCCAGGCTTTGGGAGGCCGAGGTGAGCGGATTGCCTGAGCCCCGTGGGTTCGAGACCCGCCTGGGCAACTTGGCGAGACCTCATCTCTACAATAAACAAAAAAAAAGTCAGCCGTGTGTGGTAGCGCATGCCTGTAGTTCCAGCTACTTGGAAGGCTGAGGCAGAAGGATCGCCGGAGCTCAGCAGGTCGAAGCTGCAGTAGCCGGGAGCGGCCACTGCACTTGTGACAGAGTGAGACTCCAACTCAAGAAAACAAATAAACAAAAAAAAAATTAGCCAGGTGTGATGGCACACACCTGTATTCCAGCTACTTGGAAGGCTGAGGTGGAAGGATCACCTGAGCCCAGCAGGTCAAGGCTGCAGTGGCCATAAGCATGCCACTGCACTCCAGCCTGAGTGACAGAGTGAGACTCTGACTCAAAAGAAAAAGAAAAAAAGCTGTCCATGTGCAGTTCAGTCCTGGTGTGTCAGGGAATCTGTATCCCTTAAGGATGGGGAGGCATGCTTTTAAAGAAGTAGAGACCCTAGGGAAGAGAGAGAGGCTGCTCCTGCAGCTTTCCTAGCATTGGTAGCTCCCCACAGAGTGATGGTACAATCATCAGTAACCCTGAGCCACCCAGACTACACTCAGGGTCTCCACACATCCGAGATTCGTCCTCGTATCCACTGGCTTCCTCTGGTTTGCCTGCACCTGAATTTGTGGACACAAGTCCTGTGACTAGTGGGCTGGAAGGTGTGCATGCAAGGGTGGGTAACTGGTTGGAAGAGGATGCTTCTGTATCTGCAGAAGGTGAGCATGAGTAAGGGAGCTGGGGCTTGGTGGTCCATGGCTTATCTCAGGCTGATGTGCTTTTCTCCCTGCCAGACTGTTCTTTGCTGGAGCCAGAGAGGGCCACCTTCCCAGTGTGTTGGCCATGATCCATGTGAAGCGTTGCACCCCAATTCCAGCCCTGCTCTTCACAGTAAGGGTCCTCCCTGCTACCAGCCCTATACATAGCCTCCCTCCCTTTCTTTATGCCCACTCTAAGCCGGAGTTCATACTTTCCACACACTCCTGTTACCCTTCTGGTCTATTCTAGGCCCCACTGGGTCTTAAACAGTCTGGCAAATGACAATCATCATCTGTTAATATCAAGAGATATAACAAGAAAATCCCTGAGTCCTGAAATATCTATGCCTCTCAGGCTGATTCATTTCCATTCTCCCATCCTTTTGGATCAGACTGAACTGACAGCCTCAGAATTCTACAGCCTCACAGAGAAACTTCTCCCCTGGCTGTCCTCACACCAGTTACCTTAAGGTCGAGGTACTGAGCCACTACTCCTGGCTGGTTCCTGCACACACCCAGCTCTCCCCATCAAGCTTCAGGGCACCCTGACAGTATCTTGGGAAACATAATTGAAACAAATCTGGCATTAAGGATATACCAAATTAGAAAAATCATAGGCTAGGCATGGTGACTCAAGCCTATAATTCCAACACTTTGGAGGCCAAAGTGAGTGAATTGCCTGAGCTCACAGTTCGAGAACAGCCTGGGCAACTTGGCGAGACCTCATCTCTACGATAAATCAAAAATTAGCTGAGTGTGGTAGCGCACACCTGTAGTTCTGGCTACTTGGAAGGCTGAGGCAGAAGGATCACCTGAGCCCAGCAGGCTGATGCTGGGGTGGCCATGAGCATGCCACTGCACTGCAGCCTGGGCAATGGAGGGAGACTCCAACTTAAAAAAAAGAAAAATCATAAAGAAAAGAAGATGGATAAACTGAAGATGGAGAAAAGGAAACATGGAATGGGGAAGAAGTGGGAGTAAAAATGTCCCCAGACCAGAATCATTTAGAGAGCACCAAAGGAAGGAACAAAGACTTGTCCCCATTGAGTCTTTTGAGTTATTTTTATTTTCCTCATGGATCCTGAATAAAACATTAAAAATGACTTTGGTCCACCGGAGAGGCAGTTAGAAATCAGGATCACAGAGCTCTTGGGAGTCAAGGGCATTATACTACATTGGGGGAATATCAGAATGTTAAGATATGGAAGGAAGGTCACCTTGACTGGCTAGTTGTGAAAAGAAGACAATACTCCCTGTGGACCACACGTCCTGTTTTGTTTTTAGTTTGAGCCGTCGGTCAGTATTGTGACTGCAAGGTGGTTACAGCAAGAATCAGGCCTATTTACCCATTAAGATCTCCTTGATTGGGCGCAGTGGTTCATACCTATAATCACAGTACTTTGGGAGGCCGAGGTGTAAGAATTGCCTGAGCCTGCGGGTTCGAGACTAGCCTGGGCAGCTTGGCGAGACCTTGCCTCTACAATAAATAAAAAAATTAGCCGGGCATGGTGGCATGTGCCTGTAGTTCCAGCTACTTGGAAGGCTGAGGCAGAAGGATCGCCTGAGCCCAGCAGGTCGAGGTTGCGGTGGCCAGGAGCGTGCCACTCCCCTCCAGCCATCTTGCCCTCCAGCCATCCTGGGTGACAGAATGAGACTCCAACTCAAAAATATATATATATATTCTTGATCATCCTTACCATCAGATCTCGCAGGAGAACTGAACCTTGCATTGGTCTTCACAGATTCTCAGAGGAGAAGAGTGTGGTTCCAAAAGAGTCACGAAGATTATGTTGAAGTTGAAAAGTGAACACTATAGAGCAAACCTCCTAGGGATGTTATGAGGGTTAAATGAGTTAATATTTGTAGAATGCTTAAAATAGGACTGGGCACATAGCAAGTGCTACATAACACCAGTTTTAAAATAAAGAGAAGAAAGGAAGAAAACTAGATTAGATGACTCAGCCAGGAGAAAGGATGCGGGCAAGAATAAAGCTTTAATCTGCAGCTAACAATCTTCCCTAAGGGATTCAAAAAAATAAATTAGCTAAAAAAAAAAAGAGAAAGCAAAAGAAATTAGTTCAAGCAGTAACCAACAGAGAACTATAAATGAGAGCTGATACAGAGCCAAGTAATATCAGCATGGCTGATCCAGCTGTTTATAGCCAGTGTTCATTCTGGATTGGCCTAGTGCCCATGCTATACCAGTGGTTAAATATCTTTTGATTATCAGCCCTGTAAAAAGAATGAACTTCCTAGCAATAAGGGTGTTACTAACAGCCTGGATTACCAGGGGAGGTTGGAAAGTCTCCATTTTGAGACATGCATTATAAAATGGCACCATCTGCATGGAGGCAGGAAAACAGCCCCTGACCTGTAATACTAGTCTCCGAATACCTTTCTGATCACTGATGAGCTCCTCCCACTCCCCCAGTGCATCTCCACCCTGCTGATGTTGGTCACCAGCGACATGTACACACTCATCAACTACGTGGGCTTCATCAACTACCTCTTTTATGGGGTCACAGTTGCTGGACAGATAGTCCTTCGCTGGAAGAAGCCTGACATCCCCCGGCCCATCAAGGTGAGAGAAACTCCCTTTGGGGTCTTTATGGTTTTAGCTGCAGCTCAGGTTTTTAAAATCACCTCATTCTCAGCTGCTGACCATAGATCATCACCTCTGTGATAGCAACAGACCCTTTGGGAAGCAAGGGCCATATGTGAATGGGATAGCCAGAGCAAATTGCAGCTGGGGAATAAGATTAAGTGTTACTTTCTTTCTTTTTTTTTTAATTTTAAAGATGTGAGGTACAATTCAGGGTTAGGTATACAAATGGTCGTTGTACAGGTAAAGTTTGGGCTTCACTTTGGTCCCTATGCCTCCTGGTTTGAGATCAGGTACCCCTGGCAGTTTCCCACTACTGCCAATCCCTTTCTTACAGCATTATGATAATTGTTCAAGGTCTGCTTATGAGTGAGAACATGTGACACTCAGTTCTTTGTTTCTGTGATAGATCACTGAGTATTACAGACTCTAAATTCATCCAAGTTGCTGTGAAGTTCATAATTTTGTCCTTCTTTATGGCTGCATAACATTCCATCTTGTGTATGTACCACATTTTTTAATCCAGTCTACTTTCGATGGGCAGTATGGTTGGTTCAAGTGTTACCTTGAACGTGTCATTCCTCTGTTTCCTACCACTCAAAGCCTTAAACTCCAACTGACTTTTCAAGGCTCTCTTATCTCCCCAGCACTTCCTCCCTGTCCCTCCAGATAGCTATGTTCACTGTGTGCTGTGTCTCCATCCCAAAATGAGTTTCTTTCTCCCAACTGCCTATCTAAATTCTAACCATTTTCCAAATGGGCCTCAATGCCACCCCTTTTTTGAAGCTTTCCAATCCACTTCAGCTCTCCGTGATCCTCCCTTATTAAGCCTTTGGCCCTATACATAGCTGTGTGCTCAGTGAACTAATGCTGCAAGAAATAACTTTGTGAGAGGAATAAAAGGGATTGTCAGAACAAGATATGCTAGAGTGTTATGGGTGTCATTCTCCTACAAATTAGAATAATAGAGCATAGCTCAGAGCTATTTGAACAATCCTATTCTAGAAACAGAGACTGGCTGCTTCTAGAAGATTCTTTCAGCTGAGAAAGGCTCTCCAGATCTCTCAGTGGCATTTCCACTGCCACTTTTCTTCCACTCTCAGAAAACCTGCTAGAGGGAAAAGAAGGTAGAATAACCCTACTTCCCCACAACATGTACCCCCTCTGAGAAGGAGGAAAAAGGCAGTCGAATCAAGACTGCCACTGGAGCCCTGAAGATGAGGTGGTCAATAAGGAGGGGGAAGCCCTGGAGCTCAGCCTCCTTCTGAACTAAAGTCAAAGCCCCAGGCTGTCTTACACTGTGCTAAGTTTCCTGATCTCTTGAGTCTTGGTAGGTTTTTATCAAAGTGAGGCTGATCCTGGTGAGAGGGATGGACATTTGCCACACTGTGCCCAGCCACAGCACGTGTGTAGAAGTGGGCGAGGAGCAGGGAGCCTGTCCGACCCAGGTCATTTCCTTCCTGCGCCTTGTGCACTGCTCCACCTCCCCTCTACCCTAGGACCTCAGTGGACACACACCACTGTACCAGCAAGCCTCTCAACCATCATGGGCTTCTCGAGCTGCCACAGGCACATGGCATGGATGATGGGGCCTTGTCTGACCCCACCCAGGAAGAAGGACATGGGCGATTGTTTCTGTCCCTGCCTAGTACCCCCCATCCTCCTCCTGTCCCACTGCCCAAGTTCATCAACATTTGTTGACACAGCACCTGCCCATCAAGGCTGATGTAGGAGCCACAGAGCTGAGTGAAGTCCAGCCTTTGCCCTTTGTTTCCCTGTGGATGAAGAATAGAGAGGGTAACCGATCCTGGGGTCTGTGGGAACCACGGGGGCCACACAGTTCACAGTGCTTTGCGCCTCTACTCCACAGATCAATCTGCTGTTCCCCATCATCTACCTGCTGTTTTGGGCCTTCCTGCTGGTCTTCAGCCTGTGGTCGGAGCCAGTGGTGTGTGGCATTGGCCTGGCCATCATGCTGACAGGAGTGCCCGTCTATTTCCTGGGTGTTTACTGGCAACACAAGCCCAAGTGTTTCAATGACTTCATTGGTGAGTTGTTGGAGGCTCTGGGTAGCTAGAGGGCCTCCTGGTCTGGAATGGAGTAGTCAGTGATCAAGCAGGGGAGCCACCCAGGATCAGGAGGCTGGGTTCACCTTCACCTGAGTCTGCAGAGCTCTGGGGGAAGGAGTCAGGGGCAGGAGAAACAGATGCCTCCCCAGAAACGTCTGAGGAGAGAACAGTTATTTGCACACAGACCTCTGACCTGCAAGAACAGGCAGCCTGTCAGCCATTCTGCAGGAGCTGTCCGGGCTGGGTGGAAACCAGCGTAGACTCTGGAGTTGGGGGTCAGTGGGCACAGGGAAGGTGAAAGGCTGGGGCCTTGATGAGCAAAGGGCAGCCAACAGAAAATGCAGGAGGTGGAGGTGGCCATCTCCTGGAGAGGAGGAGGGATCTCCTAAAGGCACTGACTACTGTGCTGAGGCAAAACCTGGGGTGGGAAAGCTGGAAAGGGCTGTGGCCTGGTTGGCCAGGTTGGTGGGTTACTCAGCACTGACCTGGTTTCTACGTGATGTCCTTCTACAGAGTTGCTGACCCTGGTGAGCCAGAAGATGTGTGTGGTCGTGTACCCCGAGGTGGAGGGGGCCTCGGGGACAAAGAAGACGAGTGAGGACACAGAAGAGCAGCGGCAGCCCATCTACCAACCCAGTCCCACCAAGGACAAGGACTTGGTGGGGCAGCCCCAGTCCTGAGGACTGCCATCCCCTCCACTGGCTACTCCCTCCTTCTTCCCCCTTGCTGTCCTACTTCCCTGCCTGGGTCCCCCAAACACACACATCCTCCTCTGCTTCTGTCAGGTGGGGGTAGGACCTAGGTGTGGATGGTGAGAAGTTATCAACAAAATCATCGACATTTGTACCCAAAGAATCAATCTCTCATCCCCAGGGCCTGTGTCTCAGCCCTCACCCCAGTGTTACCCACGCTCCAAGCAGCTGGAAGAGGAGGGAGATGCCATGGGTGCCTCACAGGGCCCTCCCTCTCAGGCCACACCCTCCATTGCCTCTTCAGGAGCCCGAGTTCACTACTGCCTTTCCTCCCCATTCCTGAGCCAAGGAATGCCTCCCTTCAGAGAGGAGACGCAGCCACCGTGGGTTGGTTGGGGAGGCACGGGCTCAAGCAGTTCTGTCACCATGGAAGGTCAGCTGGAGAAACCCAAGGCCCTCTCTGTTCACCAGGGACGCAAAATCAGAGGGGATGCTTCCCTCTGCCCTCTTCCCCACCCCTCCCTGCCAAACCTCCACCCACCCCAGCCTGGGCTCCCTGTCCAGAGTTAGGTTCCCTTCAGGACACCACCTCCCACTGAGTGAAGGACCAACTGAGAACTGCCCCCAACCGCAAGCCAGGCCTATGGATCATATTAGGAAAGGCTCAGATTGCAGAAACCAAGCCCTGCCCCTGCCTCCTGCATCCTGCCCCCAGTGTGGTGCCAAAACTTCCAGAAGCCAGAAGGAAGCCAGAAAGTCGTCGTCTTTTAATGTAGTGAGCATCTCTCTCCTAAAGACAAAGTAGCTCAGCAGCTCCTTCCTCCCCACCCATAGGAAGGGGCAGTCACCCTGTTATCCCTGCAGCCACACCCCACACACCCACACAGAGCCTGGCGCCTCCCCCACCCCCCCATGCCCTTTTCCTCCTTTCTGGACCTTGGCTCAGGGCCGGTTGTGAAGGATTCCCAAACTCTTCAGGCCTGAAGTTGGAGCCAGATCAGCCTTAAGTCACCTCCCAGCCAAGAACTGAGCCTAAAAATACTCCCTTATTTCTAAGCCTCAGGACAGACCTGGTATTAGATGGCTTCCCTGGGAGGAAGGGCGCTTTCCCACCTCCCCAGGGGTGCCCATTCCACAATGGAGAAGGGGGAGAGCATGTTTTCTGAAGGCCAGTTCCTCTCCCCTCCCCTAACTCTCACAATCCCTCTCCCATCTCTGGTCTCAGCGCCATCCTGTCTTGGGACAGAAGAAGAGGGCACTGACGGGGTGCTCACTTGAAGATCCTCAGAAAAAGCCCCTCTGTGCTGTGTGCTTGCCCCGGGCCTTGCAGCTCCCCCAGCCACTCCTGCTGTGCTAAGGACATAGGATCCTTTCATCCCAGAACCGGATTCTCTCCACCCCCACTTTCATCTGCTTAAACTGGAATATCCGGGAGCCCAGGCCAGGTCTCCCAGCTTCCCACCTGGCTTTCCTGCCCCAGAGTTGGTGAGATGCCGGGGTTTGTTCTGAGTTACAGCCCCTTCAGAGTAGACACTAGGCTGGGGTTGGCCCCTGGAGGGTCAGGGGACCATCTTCTTGTTCCCTTCTCATTCCTCCAACCTCCTCCCCTCCTTCAATTATTAATTTTTGTAAAGTGGATGCCTTACTTTTTGGATAAATATTTTTGAAGCTGGTATTTCTATTTCTTTTGAATTTTTTAAATCTAAGGTTGTTTTTTGGGGGGTGGAGTTAGAATAATCTTCTTTCACTTGATTTAGGTTTTAGAGTTTGTTTTGTGGAGGATTTTTTTTTCTTTTGATGTAATAAAATTTAAAATGGAAATGAAAGTGGTGGTGTTGATAATTGAGCTTCTGAGACAGAGTCACTAGGCATTTCCTGTCTTAAGACATATTTGGTTGCCAGTTTCCTTCTGGGATGATCTTCCTAAAAGCTCTTGCTCTCCATAACTTCTAGCTACCCCAGGACTCAGTGCCAGTACATTCAAACAGCTGTCATTTTGAACCAAAAACACTGTCAAAAGACAATGTTAAAACAGATTTAAAGATCTCGATTTTTTGCTGTAATTCTAGAATCAGGCAACACTTCATTCTATAAAATAGAATGTATTCCAATGAGCTAAGCAGAAGAGGTTGGCTTTATGGTCAGGCAAAGACTGAAGAAAGGTAATTGCTTTTCAAAGTTCACTTTTCTTACAAGGTGGGAACAGGGAGACAGAACAATAAAAAATAAAACTGAGCTGGGCTCGGTGGCTCAGCCTGTAATCCCGCGCCTTGGGAGGCTGAGGTGAGTGAATTGCCTGAGCCCGCGGGTTCGAGACTCGCCTGGGCAACTTGGCGAGACCTCATCTCTACAATAAATCAAAAAATTAGCCGGGTGTGGTAGCACACGCCTGTAGCTCCAGCTACTTGGAAGGCTGAGGCGGAAGGATCGCTGGAGCCCAGCAGGTCGAGGCTGCGGTGGCCGGGAGCGGCCACTGCACTCCAGTCCGGGCGACAGAGTGAGACTCCAACTCAAAAAATAAAAAATAAAACTGATGGCCAGGCACAGTGGCTCACGCCTGTAATCCCAGAACTTTGGGAAGCTGAGGAGAGAGGATTGCCTGAACCCACGGGTTAGAGACTAGCCCAGGCAACATGGCGAGACCTCGTCTCTACAATACATCAAAAATTAGCTGAGTGTGGTGGCACATGCCTGTAGTTCCAGCTACTAGGAAGGCTGAGGCAGAAGGATCACCTGAGCCCAGCAGGTCTAGGCTGCAGTGGCCGTGAGCATGCCACTGCACTCCAGCCTGGGTGAAACAGTGATGCTCCGACTCAAAAACAAAAACAAAAAAACCTGATGAGTTACATCAGGTTCCTTCAGGCTGCCTATTTCTGTGTAGGGATTAAAGCAAAAGGAACTTCATTATCATGCCCGCTGAAGTTTTTTTTTCTTCTTTTTTTAATTTTAGTCAGAATCTCACTCTGTCACCCAGACTATAGTGCAGAGGATTCACCACAGCCTCAACCACCCAGGATAGAGATCACAACTCACTGCAGCCTTGACTACCTGGGCTCAGGCGATCCTTCTACCTCAGCCTCCCGAGTAGCTGGGACTACAGATGCCTGCCACCATGCCCGGCGAATTTTTCAATTTTTGTGTAGAGATGAGATCTCATTATGTTGCCTAGGCTGGCTTTGAACTCCTGGGCTCAAGCAATCCTCCCACTTCAGCCTCCCAAAGTGTGAACTGTTGTACCCAGCCCCACTGAAGATTTAAACGGGCCTGTATGGGAAACTGGCAATTATCTCTCCTAATTCTCCAAAGGTCAGGTTACACCTTTATTTAGATTTAGAGATGAGGAAATTCAACATGAGTGTCTCCATTTTTATTTTTCATCTTGTCTGTAGGGGCCTAGTACAGGAGCTTAGTCCAAAGCAATGGCCCCCTATAATTTTTATTTAACAACACTCATTCCTTCTATGGAGTCATGAAGTGTTATTAATTTCCTGTTCCATGCACCACACTGAAAGCCTGCAAACTAAATCTAAAGAACTCATCACTACCCAAAGTGGGAAGGTGTGTGAGGGATAGGCAGTGCTGAACTGAACTGAGGGAGGCAAAGGTAGGCAACAGTGTTCCCAAAGCCTAGTCAGCAAAGGACAGCCTGAGCGGTATCAGTGCAGAAACTCAGGGTCCCAGGAGCTTGATAGGAAGTCCTGGGAGTTGAGGCTAGGTTCACTTGGTCATTTGGAGACATCTGGGAGAAAGAGTAGGAAGACTATTGGACTAGGACCAGGGAAAAAGAGGAAGTCGTTAAGGTAGATACAAGTACCTCCTAGTGTTTGGGGTTACTTGCTAAAGGAAGTTGAAGAGATTAGTCCCAGTCTTTACTTTGTGTCCCTGTCTTAATGGGCAGTTTTCCCAGTGGCCTGTCCTGGGACGGCATCATTCCAGAGCCAGCACTGCTGACAGACACAGGACAACGGAGGCAGGCGGGGGTTGTTAAGACATCACCCTTCACCATCTGGGACGCTGTGAGGACACAGGCAAGCAAGATGCCTCCACTTCGTCTTGGCCTGGCCCCAACACTCCTGCTGTGGCTGTCGTTCTTCCAGACAGCCTGGAAGCTCGCCATTCACAGGGACACTGAGCTGGGAGGCCAGGCACTTGGCTCCTCGTCCCAGGTCAGTCACTGAACAGCTGTGTGTCCTTGGGCAAGTCAACTGTTCAGCATTTTTAGAGAGAAAGAAAGAAAGGTTGGACCTAATCTCAAACAGCTCCTCAGCCTTCCACCTTTAGGTTGTCCCAAAAGGCAGAGGCCAGCCTTGTCCAAGCCTCACATCCACCCTTTTGAATCCCCGCCCCCGTACATGCACCTTTCCTTTCCCTGGGCTGCTCCATGTAGCTCCATCCAGGCAAGGCCAGTCCTCCCATCCTCTCTCAATCCATGGGAGACACTTGTCCCTGGTGGCCCCCTCTCTCTCTCTGTAAGATGACACCCGCTGATCTTTTCAACCTGGTCAAATGGGCAAATGTGGGGCTCCTCCAGGGCCACATGCATTTATTTTTAACCCAGACCTTTACCTTGTCTTAACCTTGGCAGTCACTTAAATGCTAGGAATGTACATGCTCTGACCTTAAAGAATTCGGGAATTTTTTGGAAGTCACTGATATCATAGCTGCTTATGCATTCAGTTATTAATATAGACACAAAACAGGCCAGGCATGGTGGTTCATGCCTGTAATCCCAGCACTTTGAGAGTTCGAGGCGGGAGGATTGCTTGAGCCCAGGAGTTCAAGACCAGCCTAGGAAACATAATGAGACTTTGTCTCTAACAAAGAATCATAAAATAGGCCAGGCATGGTGGCGTGCACTTGCAATCCCAGCTACTCAGGAGGCTGAGGTGGAAGAACTTCCTGAGACCCTGAAGTTGAAGCTGCAATGTGAAGTGAGCCATGATTATACCACTGCCCCCTAGTCTGGGCAACAGAGTGAGACCCCAACTCAAAAAAAACCCACACACAACAAATCTTTTGTGATTATTATGCCCAAAGACTTTGCTATATGCTGTGGAAACAGCAAATCTATTCCTGAATTTCTCAATTCAGCACAGACTTCAAATATTTTGTTCCATTGTACCCACAAGAATATTCAGCCATGTCAACCCACCTGGCCTTAGTTTTTTTGTTGTTTTTTTTTCCCCCAGAATGTCTTACAAAACTGCCAAGTATACCTCTGTAAAGACAGAAGGTAAAATGATGTTAATTCTGTAGATTGTCTCTTCTTGTGTGAATCCATAAACTGCCACCAACAGACAGAAAGGAGCTCAATGAGAAGACATACCTGTCCTATTTTGTTTTATTTATTTTTTTTTTTGAGTTGGAGTCTCACTCTGTCACCCAGACTGGAGTGCAATGGCCGCTCCCGGTCACTACAGCCTCGACCTGCTGGGCTCCAGCAATCCTTCCACCTCAGCCTTCCAAGTAGCTGGAACTACAGGCACATACTACCATGCCCAGCTAATTTTTGATTTATTGTAGAGATGAAATCTCGTCAAGTTGCCCAGGCAGGTCTCGAACCCCACAGGCTCAGGCAATCCACTCACCTCGGCCTCCCAAAGTGCTGGGATTACAGGCTGAGCCACCGAGCCCGGCCTATTTTATTTTTTATTTTATTTTATTTTATTATTTTTTTGAGTTTGAGTCTCACTCTATCACCCAGGCTGGAGTAGAGTGGCACAATCACAGCCACAATCACAATCTGGGCTCAATCCTACCCACCACCACACCCAGCTAATTTTTTTTTAATTTCTTGTAAAGATGTGGTCTTACCAAGTTGCTCAGGCTGGTCTTGAACCCTAGGCAAAACTCAGGCAATCCTCTCGCTCTTGCCTTCCAAAGTGCTGGGATTACAACCCCCATACCCAGCTGTCCTCATTTTAATTTAGGAAATATGGTCACCCTAGTTGAAGAGGTCCAAAAGATGTATCTGACTCTACCACCAAAAAGCAAATAGTTTGACAGGGGAACAAAGCCAACAATGTCCATGGCACATATGTGTACACATCATGGCATCACTGACCACACATATCACCTTGAACCACCTGCCTGTGGGCCTCCCCAGCTAGGCTGTGAGCTTCCACTGCCAGGGCCCACTCAGTGCCTAGTACCTATGTGCTCAAAAATGCTTGTCATTTTTTTTTCTCTTTAGTTTAAGAGATGGGGTCTTGCTCTGTTACGCAGGCTAGTACAGTGGCATAATCCTGGCTCACTAGGTGTCTGCCACCATGTCCATCTAATTGTTTTATTTTTATAGAGAAGAGGGGTCTTGCTATGTTGCCGAAGCTGGTCTCCAACTCCTGGCCTCAAGAGATCCTTCCACCTCAGCCTCCCAAAGTGCAGGGATACAGGCATAAGCCACCATGCCCAACCAAAAATGCTTGTCAAACAGAAATGTCATATACGCAGGTGGTGTGTCTGCTTAGGAGACACAGTTAAATGCAATGAGAGATCAGAGGAAGGGAAGAAGAAGGCTAAACTTTGAAACCAGTGGCTTCACATGCATTATCTTATTTACAATTTAATTAAACAACCCTATGAAGGAGGTAATACTCCTGCTGCTTTGTAAGTAAGATTAAGTAACTTGCCCAATGTCACGGAGCTGGTCAGCGACAGGGGCAGATTTGAGCCCAGTTCTCCCAGATACTTCGTGAGCCATGCTCAGCTGACTTCTTGTTTGGAAAGTCTTGATTCACTAAAGAAGTGGCACTGGAAGGAAGCCCATTACAAAGCCATAAGATAACACACACACCTTGTTTTTGGTTAATCCAAACTGGTAGCAACTACAGTGGCAAAGGGAAAACGATCTTGCTGACTGGGAAAGGCTGCTTTTCTGGACAAAAATCCCCTAGTCCCCGAATGGCACTGCCCTCGCACTCCATCCCCTTCCTGTCCAGAGCTGACCCCCAACCCTGCCCTGACATCCAGAGTACTGTCTGGCCCAGTCAAACCCCTGTTACTGGGAAACACTAATGTCAGCATGCTGACAACGTCAGCACCAGCCAGGGAGGTGAGGGGCCCAGATCACTTATCTCACCACGGCTGAAGCTGCTGACTTTCTCATTTCCTGCTGGCTCTATTTGCACACCTCCCGCTTCCTCCTATGCCCAGTTCACCAGCTACTGACGCAGACTTCCCCCTAATGAGGCCATGGAATGTCCTGAGTCACACAGCAACCCCTTCCCCATTCCTTCAGCCCGAGACCATTTCAAGAGTAAGCCCACTCCTTCTCTCCCAGGATGAACCAGGCATCCTCCTTGGACGACCTTGAGCAGCTCAACCTCTCAGCCCTGTTCTCCTCGTTTATAAAATAGGGATAAAAATACTGTCTGCGGCCAGGCACAGTGTCTCAAGCCTGTAATCCCAGCACTTTGGGAGGCTGAGGCGAGGGGATTGCCTGAACCCATGGGAACAGCCCAGGCAACTTGGCGAGACCTTGTCTCTACAATAAAAAATCAAAAATTAGCACCTATAGTTCCGGCTACTTGGAAGGCTGAGGTGGAAAGATCGCTGGAGCCCAGCAGGTCAACACTGGGGTGGCCATGAGTGAGCCACTGCACTCCAGCCTGGGTGATGAAGTGAGACTCCAACTCAAAAAAAAAAAAAAAAAAAAATCTGCCGGGCTCAGTGGCTCAGCCTGTAATCCCGCGCCTTTGGGAGGCTGAGGTGAGTGGATTGCCTGAGCCCGCGGGTTCGAGACCCGCCCGGGCAGCGAGACCTCCTCTCTACAATAAATCAAAAATCAGCTGGGCGTGGTAGCGCATGCCTGTAATTCTGGCTACTTGGAAGGCTGAGGTGGAAGGATCGCCAGAGCCCAGCAGTCGAGGCTGCGGTGGCCGGTAGCGGCCACTGCACTCCAGTCTGGGTGACTGAGTGAGACTCCAACTCAAAAAAAATACTGTCTGCCCTGCCTACCTTCCTACATGAAATGGTCAGCATGAAAAAATATACATTTCAATGACTGAAAAAGCATTACTTTATCGGGAAGTACAAGTCCTGACCATTATTATTATTTCAAAATAGGGGAGAAGACAGATTTTCTCTTAATTGAGACAAGGCCCTGTGGCTGAGCATGGTAGCTCACACCTGTAATCCCAGCACTTTGGGAGGCCAAGGTGGGAGGATAGCTTGAAGCCCAGAGTTGGAGATCAGCCTGGGTAACAAAGTTAAGACCCTGTCTCTTAAGAAAAAAAATTAAATTAAAAAAAAAAAAAAAAAGAGGTACAAGGCCCCGGGCTCAATACTCCCAGCCTGCCCATTCTACCTGTAGCAGAACTGCAAGCCCCCCATCCCAGCCATGTTTCCTCTTCCTCCTTCCCAATGCAGCCTTCCTGTGTGACAAGGCTGTAGGACACTGCCCTCTGCTGTCCATCCGATTTGGAATCACAGCAGTCCACGAAGTCTGGCATTTTTGAACCAATGTTGCCACCTGATGGCCGACACAGGCACTGCCACCTAACTGAAGTAGTTGAGCTTTGCAATGGAGAGATATCTCCCCATCTGGTTCCTGAGTTCTGTCTCTGGGATACAGCAGATCTCACCATGCCAGGTCAGGTCTTTTAGAGAGGGCATATCTGGCCATACCACATGCCATGCACTGAAAGCACCTGGGGTAGGTGGGAGAGGTAGGGAGGATGGAAGGAGGATGCTAACCAGGAGGTTAACTTGCCTGACTTGTAGGCCAGTTACATTCGCATGTTTTATTTTCTTGCTCAACACCATGTGTAGCCCCTCTGCATTTGCCCCACTGTGGCCTACTCACAGTGACCCAGCCCTTGGTGGGCAACTTTATAAAACCTTCTGCCCAGCCAGGCTCGGTGGCTCAGCCTGTAATCCCACGCTTTGGGAGGCTGAGGTGAGTGGATAGCCTGAGCCCGCGGGTTCAAGACCCGCCTGGGCAGTGAGACATCATCTCTACAATAAATCAAAAAATCAACCGGGCTTGGTAGCACGTGCCTGTAATTCCAGCTACATGGAAGACTGAGGTGGAAGGATCACCAGAGCCAAGCAGGTTGAGGTTGCGGTTGCGGTTGCCGGGAGCAGCCACTGCACTCCAGTCTGGGCGACAGAGTGAGACTCCAACTCAAAAAAACCCCAAAAAAACCTTCTGCCCATCTCCCCCAACCCCCAACCCCCTGCCCAGGCACCCATAGCATTTGCTGGGATAAAAGAGCCAGTAACACATTTCTGTGTCCTTTTCTTTTCACTGGACCTATTGACCCTTTTGGAGATGAAATTCGACAGGTAAAAGCAGAGCCACAGCAGGTGACTCTGACAGGAGGAAACGGGCAAGTCCCAGAGGAAAAAGAAAAGGGGGGGGCAGCACAGGACCAAGCAGAAAAGAGAGGCAGCCATGGGCTTCTCCTGGAGACCCTGAAACAGAGCCCCAGGAAGAGGTGATGACATAAGAGGCTTCTCAAGTCTCACAAGAGGAAGTAGACTCAAGAGACACGCATTAGAGGTCAGAGAACGGCCATGCAAAAGGAAAGACAGCAAACTGAGCTGCAGCGAGCTCCTGAGCCCTGCAGCCCAGGGCACAGGAAATGAGAGGCAGAGCCTCGGGCCCAGAGTGAAGGGCAAGGTGCCAGCCCAAGCCTCTTGCAGCACAGGGCAGCTGGAACAGAGAGGTGCTGGAGCCACCAGAGTTGTACGGCTGTCTGTTCCAAGAGCAGCAGCCTACCTGGGCCTGGGATGCAAGGCCCAAGTCCTGACCAGGTGCTCAGCCAAACCCAGGCACTGTGCCTGGCTCCTAGAAGTGGCCAGGCCTGGAAACACATTAGTGTCTGGGCTTTGGCACAGACCTTGTGGAAAAGCCTAGCAAATGACCACAACACATGTTTCCCACGTATAGCTTGTTCCCGGAACCTATCACTACTCCCTAAACCTCTCAAACAAGACCCTCCTGGCCTTCATTTAGAAGGCTCTGGGAGGTGGGGCTACAAAAGGAACTGACTGTCCCTGGGGGTAGGTGGAGCCCAGCATTGGGGGGACCCAGAGGAAGGCGTGTCAAGGGAGGAGCTCAGACCATGCTGGGGGTCGGCACTAGAAGAGGGCTTTCTCTGTTCACTCTGACTTGGCAACTCATTCTGCACAGAAGTTTTTGGAAGTCAGAGGAAGGAGGACATTCAGAGTGAGGTGTTGTTCTCAACAAGGATTTGGAGTTCCCTGGGCTCAACAAGGAGCAGGGAGACATTCCCAGAAGCATCAGCTTATAGGCATCTCCAAAACCCTGACTTGGACCCTGATGGAAGAATGCCCTCAGTTGCTAACTAGGCCAGGGGTCCCCTTTCTCTCCCTCCCTCTGGGGTGCCTCCCTCCCTCTGGGGTGCGCCCTGCCCCTCCCTGAATCACCCCAGGGAGAGAGAGGGGAAAAAAGGGAAGAGAAGAGAGGCATTGACTATAGAGGAAGGAAAAGGAAGCACAGCAGAGGAGGGAGGAGAGAGGCCACACAGGAGTGGGTGACAGAGGAGACCGGAGAGGGCAGGTCTAGGGCAGAAGACTGAGAGAGGGCAGGCATAGGGCAGGTCTAGGGCAGGAGAGGATCGAGAGAGGGCAGCCCGAGCACCCCCAAGGGGTGCCCCAAGAACAGGCAGGGGCGGGGAGCCGAGGGGGCGGGCCGGCCATGTCCCACGGGACCTACTACGAGTGTGAGCCCCGGGGTGGCCAGCAGCCACTTGAGTTCTCGGGGGGCCGAGCTGGGCCCGGGGAGCTGGGGGACATGTGTGAGCATGAGGCCTCCATCGACCTCTCCGCCTACATCGAGTCTGGGGAAGAGCAGCTCCTCTCGGACCTCTTCGCTGTGAAGCCGGCGCCTGAGGCCAGAGGCCTTAAGGGCCCCGGAACCCCTGCCTTCCCTCACTACCTGCCGCCTGACCCACGGCCCTTCGCCTACCCCCCACATACCTTCGGCCCAGACAGGAAGGCGCTGGGGCCTGGCATCTACAGCAGCCCAGGGAGCTACGACCCCAGGGCTGTGGCGGTGAAGGAGGAGCCCCGAGGGCCAGAGGGCGGCCGAGGTGCCAGCCGAAGTGGCTACAATCCCCTGCAGTACCAAGTGGCACACTGTGGGCAGACAGCCATGCACCTGGCCCCGACCCTGGCAGCACCCGGCCAGCCCCTGCGCGTTCTCAAGGTAAGAGCTGGTCAGTTCTCCCTGCCACCCTGGGGCTAGAGAGAGGCCTGTTGTAGATGGGGAACCTGGAGCTCCCCGCTTACATTACCATGTCTGTGTTTGGTGTTGCTCTGTGAAACTGATCCACCCCAAAGTCCTTTGTGCTCATTGCCAGACCTGACCCCGCTTCCCTTCTCTGTGAATAGATTCCTACTCTGAAACCCCACCATGTTCTTCCTGAAGCCTATTGGGCAAACTGACCTACCCTGATCTCAGGCCCCCCACCAGCTTCTCTGCTGCCCCCCCCCCCCCCCCCCCCTCCC